CAAATCAGTAAAAGGAGTACGACTCCAAGCCCTACTCACCCAAGGGCTCAGCCAGGACTGACACCCAGAACTTAGTGGCCTGTGAGGGAAGCCACTGTGCACAAGGCTGAAAACAAGTGACAGGGCTGACAGAGAAGCGGGCCCTGAGCCGGAACTGAGGAAGGAGACACCACGCTCCAACCAGGAACGCCACTGGTGGGAAACAGTAGCCCGGACCAAGATTCACAGGCAAGAATGTGTCTTCAAGCTTTGTTTATAAGAAGGGAAAATGGGGAACAGCCTAACTGTCCAATAGCAGAGGATTAAATAAATCATGTCACATCCTTATCACAGCAATTATGCAATTATTTAAAAACTAGAGGCCCGGTGCATGGAATCTGTGCACAAGGGCGGGGGTCCCCTCAGCCCAGCCTGCACTCTCTCCAATCCAGGATCCCTCTTGCAATCCGGGACCGCTGGCTCCTAACTGCTCACCTGCCTGCCTGCCTGCCTGATCTCCCCTAACCACCTATGCCTGCCGGCCTGATTGCCCCCTAACTGCCCTCCCCTGCTGGCCTGATCGCCCCTAACTGCCTCTGCCTCGGCCCCCCACTGTGGCTTTGTCTGGAAGGACGTCCAGAAGATGTCCAGCCTAATTAGCATATTACCCTTTTATTAGTATAGATCAGTGGTCGTCAAACTGTGGCTCGTGAGCCACATGCGGCTCTTTGGCCCCTTGAGTGTGGCTCTTCCACAAAATACTGACTTCTGCGCATGGGCCACGAAGTTTCAATTGCATTGTACGTGTATGCTCGCACGTGGTATTTTGTGGAAGAGCCACACTCAAGAGGCCAAAGAGCTGCATGTGGCTCGCGAGCCGCAGTTTGCCGACCACGGGTATAGATCATGCTTTCAATTGTATAGGGAAATACATTATAACATTACGAGAACTATAAACTGTGAATAGTGTATATAGTATTTTTTTCTAACTTTGAAAAACTCAGCACATAATCAAAGGAAATACACCAATCCTTACTGTATGATGAGATTACAGATAATTTGTATTCTTATTCTCGTCGTTATTCTTTTCAGTGTTTTCTGATTTTTTTTTCCAGTGAAAACGTTACTTTTACAAATGAGGGGAAATGTAATTAAAAGGCCTTGCAAAATGCCTGGCAAATAATAGATTGTCAAGGAGTATCTGCTGCAGGACAGTGAATTAAAAAACAATAGCGTTTCTGCAACCCCACAAAGGGAAAGGCGGCTGGTCTCCTTGGAAAGGAGAGAGGCCCAGCGCAGAGCTGCCAGCCCGCGGCTGAGGGGGGGCGGAGGAGGCAGCGGAGCATGTGAAGGAGGCCAGCAACTCAGGCTTCATTCTGCCCGCACCTCGTGCTGCGGCGCTTTACAAACCAAGGCTGCCAGGAGCACCCCAGCCCCTGGCTCAGGCCACAGGCAAATCAACAAGTACAGTGAGCAACACTCAACCAGGACTTCTGGCTCCAGTCCCTCGGCAGGTCTCCCTCCCAGAGCAGAGCGCACGCGCCACCACAGACAGATCAGGGATGCCACGGGCAGCAAAGCCAGTCTTCGGGCTCCTGGGTAAGGAGGTGGAGGTCGGGTCCAGATGGCACCTTTTAAACCTAAAAGCTAGTCCTGAAGAATTTATTTCACCAGAAAGCTCATCTCTCTTTCTGATCCCCAGCACTTGAGGCAATGCCTTTATCTTTTTGTCCAAAAGGACAGACCCAAGGTTCCTAAGGCTACACACAAGTCTCAGGGAAAAACTCTGAAGACAAAAATCGAGTTATGATTTGAAAAGAAGATAGTCCGGTTGGCCTGGACTAAAACCTGAGATTTGGAGCATAAAACCCACATGTCTCTGAGGGAAACTCCTTTTTTCACAGGGAATTGTACAGCTTAAAAATCCAGTGTAGATGGGCCCTGTTTAATGCCTGCCCACCCACAACAAGATCCGTACTTTTGACAGCAGAGAAGCCTCATTATCAAATTTAGAAACACATGTTCTGGCCCACGTGGCCTATTACGGTTTGAAATAGAAACCAATATAGAAATGATCAATCTTAAACAGTAGAATAAGGAGACATATAACCAGCACACAGCCATTAGCAACATGAGTCAGTACTTTGTGCAAGGCGCAAAAAAAAAAAAAAATTCTCAAAGTACAATAAAATAACCCTTCAGGAAAAAAGAGGGCTGAAATTTTAAAAGGGGTGTGTGTGTGTGTGAACAGGCCAACCAAAAGGCATAACAAAAAACACACACAATCCGGGCCAGGCCCCAGGCAGGCAGACGGAGCTGGAATTAGTTCTGACTTGCCATTCCTGAAATTCCACTCTCCCAAGGTTTTCTGGCTCTTCCTTCTCCAGGCTTTTTCTTTACCCATTTGGACCTGAAGGAGCCTGAGCTGCAGGAGGTGGTCGGCCCCCACAATGGGCAGGCAAGGTCCCCCAGCAGTGCATTCCAGAGCCGGAGCCCTGGTGGAAAACTAAAATTCACAGGTGGTGCAAAGCTTGCTGGGAGGGACAGCCGGTTCATCTCCTTCCCTAACCAGCAGCCCAGGCTGGGCCCGAAAGAAATCAGATAGAAAGCATGGGCCAAGAGGCAGGAAGCGGTGTGGCCTGAAAGGATGACCCGGCCCTGTTACCACCTCTTCCCTCCCACAGCCAGCCAGGGGGCCTCGAGGAGGATGCCAGGAGATTACAAACGAAAAACCTGAACAAAACCAAGATGGTTGTGGGAATGCCCACAGAGCCAACAAATTCCCCCTCTGGTTGCAGAACCACTGGCATCCAAGCAGTCTTTCACAAGCCAGCTGCAGGCTTGGCGCAGGCGTAACTGGGTCTCAACTATCACCCGCAGCCAAGACGGGGGTCAGTCTCCCCTATGAGCCTCAGTCCTTCCTACGGTCTCCAGGGGACAGCAGGCAACCATGTCTGGCTGGGCAGCATCGCTCTCCTAAGCCATTCCGGGACTTCCAGGCAGGGGAATGGTCATGACATCAAAACATTAACGGAGCCTGGATTTGGGGTGGGACAGTCACACAGGGCTATCAATGAGGATAATTGGAGAAAACGACCAGGAATTAGGAAAAAAGAGCCAGAAAACTAGGTAACCACAAACACAACCAACATTTTCATCACTCCCTATGGATGGGAAGCGCTTTGCTACAAATAGGAGGTGGGGCTCCCCAGAGCCCCAGCAGATTCATTAAGACCAGGCCTAACGATCCCCATTTCAGAGGCAGGCGCTGGCCCAACGCGGCCCAGCAGCCAGGCTCCGAGAGACACCCTTGCCCAAACAAGCAGAGGGTCCCCCATGAGTCTGCCACTCCCAGAGGAAAGCCATTACCCTCCAGGCAGAACCCCTGGGCCTCTGCTTGTTGTCCGTCCTTGTGCTATTCCAGCTCTGCCTTCCACCGAACTGTGAGAGCAGCTCAGAAGGGACAGGCCCCAGATCCAAGCACAGAGACCTAGGACATCAGCCGGGTCTAGTTCGTTCTTGAGGGCTCCACCGCGCCATTCCCCAGCCTGGCCTCCCCACAGAGGCCGGGCACTGAACCATCACGTGGCCATTGCTGTTTTGTGCCTTGAACTCCTTCTCCCTGGTGCAGGCCTCTGCCCCGCACCTGTGGCTGCCGGGCGGCTGGGCTCTGCGGATGGCACCTCAGGTGGCTCACTCCCATCCTGGGACTTGATGGCAATGACACAAACAGCACAGGAGCCACAAATGCTGAACCCCAGCTGTGTGCCAGGCCCTTCCCCACCTTCCCCACCCTCCGAGGTGGAGAATGCCATGTCCCTACGTGTGTCACTGACGACTCACAGAGAACCCCAGAGTTCCCTGACGGAGGAGGACCCGCACCCCAACACCCGGGCCTCCCCAGACGCACCTGACGCCGCAGCGCCGTGCACAGGCCAGCGGACACGGCTCCGGGGAAACCCTGCTAGGACTGCGGGTGCGGGGTTGCAGAAACCGAACTGGATGGACGAAGCCACATAAAAACGCTCGTAAAACCCGAAAGGAAAAAGAAATCGCAGGGACGTGCACGATCCTGCACACCCGAGGCTTCTCCAGGCAGCCATGCAGCCACCGACACGCTCAGGGCCGCCCAGCCCCCCTCCCACTGCTGCGGGCGGCCCGTCCCCTGGAAAAACACCTCCTCCTCCCGCCGCACCGTGGGCTCGGACCTCCCACGATATTTACAAAGAGCGAGGGAGGGGGAGGGAGGGGGAGAAGGGGGGGGAGAGGAGAGGAGGGGAGGGGGCACCCGGGCTGGGGCAGGTCCGCCGAGGCCCCGGGTGTGCCGCCGCCGCTCGCTCTGGGGGGGGGGGGGGGGCGGGGGGGGGGCGGGGAGGAACCCGGCGCGGAGCCGTCCGGCCGACCCGGGCCGCGACATCCTGTTTATCGGTCAACATTCAGCCGCGGAGCGCGCAGCCTTCCCCAGCCACCCGGGCCCGCGCTCCAGCCGCCCCGCGTCGGCGGCGGGGACCCCGCACACAGGCCGGCGGCCCCGGCCACCCGCTGCGGGGACACTCGGGGGGCCGCCCGCCCCCGCGCCCCGAAACCGCCCCGCGGCCGCCGCCCCCGCCCTCGGCCCAGAGGGCCGCCCGCCCCCCGAACCCCACCTGGGCGGGCGGGTGGGGGCCGGAGCGCCGTCCCCGGACCACACGGCCGCCGGGCCCCGGGCCCCCGCACACCGGCCCCGGGGACCCCGCGCGGCGCCCGGGCCCGGCCTCCCGGCCTCCGACCGCCGCCGAGCCCAGGCCGCGCGGCGCCGCCACAACAATGGCGAGGGCCCGGCGCCCGCCCCGGCCCGGCCTCCCCGCCGCCCCGGCCCCGCCGGCGGCCCAACGGCGACAGCGCGGGGCGGGCCGAGGCCCGCGCGCCCGCGGACAAAGGTCGCCGGGCCCGGGCCCCGCTGTCAGTCAGCGCCGCCGAGACAAAGCCGGCCGCGCCTCCATCTTAGCGCCGCCGCCGGCCCGCGCCCGCCCCGGGCCCACCTGGTCTGTTCCGCGGGCGCGACGGGGCCGGGCGCTGGCGGTCGGGCGGCGGTCGGGCGCGGCGGCGGCGGGATGGCGGCGGATGGCGCGGCGGCGCGGTGCCTGCTCCCTCGTCCCTCCCTCCCCTCGCTCGTCGCTCGCTCGCTGAGCCTCCGCGCTGTGTCTCGCCGCCGCCTCCCTCTCCCGCTCGCGCTCCGCTCCCCGCCCCCCGCCGCCGCCGCCCCCGCCTCCCCCGCTCCCCCGCCCGCCGCCGCCCGCGCAGCGCCCCCTGCCGCGCCCCCCGGGATCGCGGGCGCCCCCCGGCCGGAGGGGCTGGGGGCCGGGGCGGGGGGTGCGGGCGGGGGCCGGAGCCGAGGGGAGGGGGCGAGAGGAGGGGCCGGGGGGGGGGCCAGGCGGCCCCCTGCCAGTGGTGGGGTTCGGAGGCGCGGGGAGGGGGCGGGAGCCGGGCGCTGGGGCTCCGGGAAGGGGCGCGCGGAGCGAGGGGGAGGGGGGGCGGGCCGGAAGCGGGGGCGCCGGGGCGGGGGGCCGGCGGGGGGCGGGGGGCCGGGGCCGAGAGCCCGGATCTCCGCCCCTCCCCCCTCGGAACCGCAGCGCCCCCGACAGACCCGCCCGGATTCTGCGCGGAGGAAGCCGATGCTGCGCCGCTGGCTCCGAGGCGAGGTGGCTGCGCGCACCGTGGGCGCCCCGTCCCGTCCCGTCCCGTCCCCGGCCCCGCGCGAGGGAGGCACCGGCCCATCCTCCGCGGAGCGTGCGTGTCTGTGTGGCCGCGAACAAAAGGGCTGGGAGGGCGCTCCGCCCGGTCGCCTTGGCCGGCCGGGGTCGGTCGGAGGGCGGGAGAGCTACCTGGGGTCTGGCTTCCTATTCCAGATAAATTGGCAACTAGAACAGAAAATCTGGAAAAGCAAAGACAAAACGCCCGGCCGGTGTGGCCCTGTGGTTGAGCCGGGACCTCTGAACCAGGAGGTCGGGGTTGGATGCCAGGTCAGGGCGCAGGCCCGGTTGGGGGCTGATCCCCAGTAGGGGGCGTGCCGGAGGCAGCTGATGGATGCTTCTCGCTCATCATTGATGTTTCTAGCTCCCTCTTCTTTCCTCTCAAATCAATACAAATATATTCAGAAAAAAAAGAAAAGGCAAAGACAAAAAGGAAGGTAGCTGGGGCCTGGGATCCAAGTCACCAGCTCCCCCTCCAGCACTTGTCCATACAGCCAGGGGCGGGCCATTGCCTCTGCGGAGTGGCCTGGAGGGGCTTGTTCATTTAATGACAACCTTTGAGAAGATGGAGACTAAAGGTTGCCCGGAAGTAACTTGCCCAAGGCACACAGCTAGGCCTGGGAGGATAGCTCACCTGCTTCAGCCTCCGTAACTGACCGGGTTAGGGTTAGCTGAGCACCCGCCTGGCCCGCACCAGGCCCTCCAGCCGTGCCGGTTGGTTTGTGAATGGAGGAAGGAGTGTCTGGCCCTTGACCTTCCTGGCTGTGCAGTGAGGACCTGGGACTCCCTCACTTTCTGTGGCAAGAGGCGACATGAGGGACGCTTGTGCTCTGGGAGACGGGGGGACGATGAAAGAGGCGGAAGACAGGTCAACCAATGCTCCGCTCCTCTGGGGACAGCAAGGGTTGCTAGGCCCTGGGAGTGAAATGACAGCAGGTGCCCCACGTGCACCCCAAAACCCTAGGGTTTTTGTCCCGGGCTCAGGACATCCTTCCCTTCCTGCACTTCGGTGGGGTGACAGCCACGACAGCAGCGTGCTAAGCACTTTACCGAGGTGACTGCACGCGTGGGAGATGGTCAATATTGTCCGAGCTCCATTGTCTGTGGATAAGGACGTTGAGGTCAGAAGGTCGGTGACCTTAGCCAAGGTCACACAGGACCCGGGTGGTGGAGCAAGGGCTTGAGCCCAGCGGTTTGAGCCTTTCCTAGAGAGAGGCAAGGCCAGGATGCTGGATGGGGATGGGGCCGTTGCCTGGGTCCGAGGCTGTCAGCCAGGGCTGGCTCCCCGGGTTTCTCCCGGGTCTGAAGGCGCCCCTCCAAAGCCTCCCAGAATCAGGACCCAGAGAGCACAGAGGGAGGAAGGAGGACAGGACGGAGAGAGCGGAGCATGGGTGCTGGACCTGGAGGTGAGTTAGTCCCAAGAGACTCCCCGCGAGCTGTGGGAGACGTTCGAGGAGGCCCGACACCAGGAGGCAGCTCCCCTCCAGAGCCGGATGGCCGAAGGAATGTGAGGAATGAGGGGCCACGCCGTCCAGAGCCGGGGAGAGTCGGCGTGAACCAATGAGCAAGCGTTTACTTCGTTTTTGTCACTTTTTCCCTCTCAAATCCGAGGAAACTTGCAGCTCTGCTTCTGGGTGGAGAAATCCTTTCAGACTCGCAAACTGAGCCAGAGGGGAATTCCACCCGGCCCTCTCGGCCCTCTCGGCCTAATGCCGATTTTATAGAAGCATGCTCCCCCTCCCCGCCCCCCCCATGTGAGCACTGTGTTTTGTTACATTGAAACTTAATGTTTTTGTGAAATGCTTGTAACTGTATTTCTTTTTCTTTTTTTTGTTATTGTTGTTAATCCTCGCTGGAGGATGTTTTTCCATTGATTTTTAGAGAGAGTGGAAAGGAGGGGGAGAGACAGAGAGAGACATGGATGTGAGACACATCAATTGGTTGCCTCCCCCCCACGTAAGTCCCGACCAGGGCCAGGGGTTGAACCTGCAACCGAGGTACGCGTCCTCGAGCCCCCGGGCTGACAATCTATCCACTGAGCTAAACCGGCTAGGGCATAACTGTATTTCTCTATCCATGATTTTCTGGTTAAAACAAGATCACAGCCAATGATGGGTCTCCTCTGCATTCATTTCCCGTGGAATAGGGAAAGCCCTGTCATTGGCCAGCTTGGGGCCCTTTTAGAAAAAAAAACAAACTCATCTAGAAAGTTGCCTCCTTGTGCTCTCCGTTCTCTTTCCTTTCCCCGGGCTTCTTCTCGTCTAACTCCCGGCTTGGCACGCCGCACCCCGACACGCACTGTCACAGTCACAGTCTCCCTGTCCCCTAAAGACAAGGCGCTCATCCAGACGCACTGAATCATTCTTTTAAACAAAATATATAGATATGTTTTTTATTGATTTTAGAGAAAAGAAGGGAGAGGGAGAGATAGAAACATCAATGAGAGAGAAACATCGATGGGCTGCCTCCTGCACGCCCCCTACTGGGGATCAAGAGAGCAACCGAGGTACAGGCCCTTGACCAGAATCAAACCCAGGACCCTTCAGTCTGCGGGCCAATGCTCTGACCACGGAACCAAACCGGGTAGGGCTGAACCATTCATTTTTAATTCCCCAGTTCCTCACACACAGTCTGTGGCACATAATAGGTTAATGCGAGGTTACGGGGTGAAAGAGAAAAAAAAGAAAGGGAGAGAGGATCTTGGGGCTCAGAGAAGGAATTTGACCCCTGCTGGTACCATGTCCAGCCCTGGCCCCCAAAGCTCCCGCCCTTCCATGGCCTGGGATTCTGAGACTTTGCTGGACTTCTTGCATCCCTCCCTCAGTACGACTTGCATGTACTGAGCACGTCAGGCGCCGGCCTGGTGCACTGCTCCCTCCTGCCCAGGACTGCGGAAGGACAACGGGTGACGTACCCACAGCCCACTTGCAACAGGATCCAGGAGTGGGAGGCCGACACGGTGGGTGGTGAGCGCACGGCCCAGGATTCTTGGACGGGCCTGCTTTCCTGCTCTCTGCACCTGTTCTCCGCCGTGCAGCTGTGCCAATGAGAGGAGCGTGAGCCCCCTTTCCGCTCAGAAGATGTGGTCGTATTAACCGGAGGGCAAGAGAATAGTCCGGGAGGCGGTGATGCCAGCTGGGAGCGGGGGCGCCTCCGGGTGCATGTGCCTTTGCCACCAGGCTTTGGAGGCAGAGTGGAGAGTGTAATCAGAAGAGCCCGAGGAAGAACAGTCTGGACGGAGGGACCAGCTTGGACCAAGGCCTGGAGGTGGGCGTGTCTGGGCCTGGGAGGGGCCCACAGGCTGGCTGGTGGCCCCATCCCAGGGAATGTGCATTCCAGTAGGGGTGGGAGCCTTGGGCTAAAAATACAATACTTGGGTCTGAACAGGCAGCAGGGGCCACACAGGCCCTGGTGCTCACACAGGGGTTGCGGGGCAGCATCTGAGTTTCAACAACTGACACACAAGAGCTAAAAGCAACGTCTCCTCTGAGCAGGGATATGGCAATTTCTCTCCACATCATACATGATTTTTACCAATTTGAATTCGCTCTCCATTTTCCACTGAGGGAAAGACTCAGGGGTGGGGAGGAGAGAGAGCTGGACTGGGGAGTAAAAGAAGAGTGAGGCGCCTGGCCAGGTTGGCTCAGTGGTTGAGCGTTGACCTATGAACCAGGAGGTCACGGTTCGATTCCAGGTCAGGGCACATGCCCAGGTTGTGGGCTCAATCCCCAGTATGGGGCGTGCAGGAGGCAGCCAATCCATGATTCTCTCTCATCATTGATGTTTCTATCTCTCTCGCTCTCCCTTCCTCTTTGAAATCAATAAAAATATATTTAAAAAAAAAAACACAGTGAAATACAACTTTATACTCTCTAGGATGGCTGGAATAGAAAAAATGACAAGTGTTGGTAAGGGTGTAGAGACGTTAGGAGCCTTGTACATAGCTGGTGGGAGTGTAAATGGTGCAGCTGCTGTGGAAAATAGTTTAGTGGTCTCCCAGAAAGTTAAACATAGAATCACCCTATGACCCAGCAATTCCACTCCCAGGTTTGTACCTAAAAGAAGTGAAAACAGATGTCCAGACAAAACCTTAGCCGTGAGTGCTCATGGCAGCAGCATTCACAACAGCCAAGAGGAGGGACAACCCAAACGTCCATCAGCTGGTGACGGATGAACAAAACGTGTTTGTGACACTCCCTACTGCAGTGTTTAGAATTCTCCATTCAGCCACTGAAAGGAAAGTTCTTTTTTTAAACCATTTTTTAATGTTTATTTGTCAATGACAATTGACATTCAGTGTTACTCTGTATTAGTGTCAGGTGTACAGCATCGTGGCTGGACAGTCATATAC